GTTTTTCAAGACAGGGTTTCTCTGTGGCTTTGGAGGCTGTCCTGGAACTAGCTCTTGTAGACCAGGCTGGCCTCGAACTCACAGAGATCCGCCTGCCTCTGCCTCCCGAGTGCTGGGATTAAATGCGTGTGCCACCACCGCCTGGCTAAACATGTCTTTTCTAAAATGGAAGAACCAGGGCATAGCAAGAAATGATTGTACCAAAGCAAAATTGAAATCCAGCAGGGCAAGCGCTAAATTCTGTATTGAGAATTTAGGGCTAGTAATGTAATCAGCTGGGCCCCTAAAACCTTGGGTAGAACTCCCCCTCTACCTTTGCACGTAGTTCACTGGGTTAGCCACAGCTCTCCTTGCCCTCAGCCCTCCTTGCTGGATGTCCCATCCTGGCTTTTCTACTGTCTAATATCTAATAAGTGGGTCCTCATTGCAATTAAGGTGTCACCTTAACGGCTTCCCAAAGTTCACAGTGGCCTCTTGGGACCTCTAAGCAGGGACTCTGACCCTGCCTCATATTGACTAACTTTGACTGTACTCCTGATCCCATCAGTCTTATGTCCCCTATGCCTTCAAAACCAGCACCACATGGATGACACTGCCAAGCTCTCTCTGCCACTCTCTCAAGATGGAGTCCAGACTCCTTGGACCATAACTATACCTGTTTTTGCCTGACCATAAAGAAGCATTCTTTTAGGCAATTGTGTTCAAGGAACAGAGAATGACTTTAGCTTAGGCTTCCTTTCCCTTTAAATAAATTGGGATTTTTACAAGATAATGGCTCTCATTCCAGTGCCTTGTAGACTACTTCTCTTCAATCCTGCTGATCTCTTTAATAATCACACAGCTTTCTCAACACCAAGCTGATTGCCTTCATCTCCTTAAATTTCAGTCCATTATCTTTAAATTCTTTTCACTCAGGTTCTCAGAATGCAGCAGAATAAAGGCAGATAGTTGGCCAACATACCACACAGATCGCTGTTAGCCCACTGCCTGATGGAGTCCTTGATACCCTCTGAAACCTCATGCACTGGGCCACCATAGTCCACATTTCTCTCAGCATTCATGTTTTCCAAGTTCCAATGAAATGGACCATTAAGCTCTGCTTCCAATAGAAGCAGAAACAGAAAATGGCTTTCCTAGCCCAGAGTTTCAAACTCTTCTACATTCCAGCTGTGTGTAAGATCCCAACAGCTTAAGAACCACAGGGTTAGATTTATCACAGCAACAACCCATTTTTTAATGTGGACTTCTGTCTTAGTTTCTTTTCCTGCTGCTGTGGTAAAATATCTGGATAAAAGCAATTTATTAGTCAGGGTTCTCTAGAGGAACAGAACTAATTATAATATATATATATATATATATATATGTTTTATTAAATTTTTAAAATACTATATGGGTCTTGGTAGTCCAATAATGTCTGCCATTACATTGGAGAAGCTAGGAGCCTGGTAGCTGCTCAGTCCATGAGGCTGGATTTCTCAGTAGTCCCAGTCTGCTGCTGGTGGCCTGGAAGGTTCCTAGAGAGCTAATACCCTTCATTCCACATTGGAAGGTCAAAGAAGCTGCATCCTAATGTCAGCAAAGATTAGTAGCAGCAGCAATAGGGCAGATGGACTCACAGCAAGATGCAATCAGTATAGATGACCCTTTTGATGACATGGGCAACACAAAAGTAAGCAGCAAAAGCAAAGCTCTTCTCCTCAGACCATCTTCTATCTGTCTGGCATAGGACAATGTCACCCACATTGAGGGCAGGTCTTCCCCCTCCACATAACCTGGTCAAGGAACTGAAATCCTGTATAAGGGTTCCTCCTAGCTTGCCTCTTAGTTGATTCCAGTTGAAAACAATATCAACTATCACAGAGCCCATTCTGTATCCAGTTGGGCTGTTGCCTGAAGCCAACATTACATCTGTTACTAGAATCTGCTCTGAGCTTGACTGTGGCCCAGCTGCTCTGCCCCAGGCATGGCTTCCCACATGGCATTCTCCATAGGACTCCCTGCTACACCCAATGCCTCTGTCTTCCTTCCATTTTCTAGACATCCTCAGTCAGAAGTAAGGTCAGGGTTGCAAAGAAAGAGGCCACCACTCCAACTGAAGTGTCTGGACAAGGCAAGTTTTACTCTTGATCAATAGAATGCACTCAGAAGAGCAAACACACAGAGACAGGAAGTGCATTTGGGTTTTATTCTGCTCAGGTAGTAATGGTGTCTTTTTCCCATTGGTTGGGGCCTAACCTCACAGTCTGATTGTATTAGTTAGTCTGAAAAGAAAAATTGGTTAACAGGACATAAGGGAGGAAGGGAAAGAGTTCACTACTCTAGGCCATCAAATTCCTGGATACAGCAGCCAGTCTTTGTGTAGACAAATGGTTTGCAGGACTCAAAGATTAAAATGTTTGGATAAAACTCTGACGACAAGGAGGAGACAAAAAATTGAATTCTTTATCCCAAACACGTGTTTTCTAGAATTGGATAGGAAAGGCTGATATTTAATAGCTCTTACACTAGTGCTCAATTCAATGGGGAGGGCCACCCTCCCCAGCTCTGCCAGAGTGTGAAAAGGTAGCTTGAGACAATTTCATTGTTTGAACATAAAATAGGAGGAGAGGTAAAGGCAGGAGATGAGGAGGTAGAAAGGCCTCTTCTGCTGGCTTAGAGCAATGCCAGGGATCAAGGAGATTTCATCCTTCATCTTTTCTCTGGCTTGGGGAGGCAGGGATTCTTGGAGCTGGGACACTGGTCTGAAGCCCGAGAAAAGAGGAGCTAAGAGATGGCCATTTTCTTCCACCTTTCTTTGCCCTCTGTATGATTATGACTCCTACTGACAGCCCCATTTAGTAGCTGCACCCCAAATCCCAAAAACTAAGGCTACCAGTCCTGGGTGGCATAAAAGTACCAGATTCTATTTTACTGAGTTATGTGGAGCCCCTAGCCAGAGAGCCTGCCCCTGCCCCTCTATCCTTAACACTGGGGCTAGTCCCACATAGCCCCTCACTGGCACACAAAGTAACCACAGTGGCTCACCCAAGCCCTGCTGGGTCCCTAGCCTCTGTTGCCCCCACTTGGCCAGATACAGAGTAGCTTTGTCTAAGTTCTTCCATAGTTGGGCAGCTGGGATGGGGAGTGGGGTGCAGGGTAGATGGTACCTGGGGAGCACCTGCCCTCCAGGGGAACCCCTCATTGTGCATGATTAAGACTGTTGACTTCTTTCCACTGGCAGGTAACTGAGGAGGTCCATCGGCTGCTGAAGAGGTGCTCATACCAGTTTGTGTGCAGAGGCAAAGTCAGCGTCAAGGGCAAGGGAGAGATGCTAACATACTTTCTAGAAGGCAGGACTGATGGAAACAGTTCCCATGGCAGGTCCTTTCGATTGGAGCGGAGAATGTGTCCTTATGGGAGAGGTGGAGGCCAGGCCCGACGTCCCCCACTATGTCCTGCAGCTGGACCCCCGATCAGGCCGGGGCTCCCCCCAGCCCCAACTAGCCAGTACCTGCCATCCACAGCAGGGGGGAAGGAAGCCTAGTGGACCCCATGGGCCACTGGAGATGCATGCAAAGAAGAGTGCTTCAGGGTGACACAGGCCATCATGGCTCCAGCCAAGATCAGCCGGAGGAGCAGTTGCCAAGTGGCTGAGCTGGAGAAGAAGCATCGTCTAGGTGTGTGGCCTGAGGCCGATGGGAGATGTGCCCAAGCCACCCACTTGGGGCATACGGAGCCCTGTCTCTTCCTAGTGACCTGGTCATGCCTGGCTAATGTTGGCATTGGTGGTGGGACCTTGGGAATATCTTCCACGGTCATAGCAAAAGCTTTGGAGGTTCAGATGGCAGAGGAGCCCACCATGACTGAGCCCCAAGTCAGCCTGGCTTATGGGTGGCTCCAGCTCTGGTAAGCCCTGGCTTATGGGTGGCTCCAATCCTGGGTAGCAGCTTCGTGTGCCAGACTGGGAAGTTGGCCCCGCTGGGCAGGGCCACGACAGTTGAGCTGTTCATACCATGGGCACAGCTTAGAGCTGGTCAGGTCTTGGACAGGACAGTGCAGAATGAATTGAAAAGCCACCTCTTACTGCATGAAGAGTGATGTTGCTAGCTTTCCTCAAGAGTAGGCTTTTGCTAACAGCCAGAGGCAGGTCTTCTGGAATCCTCAGGCGGCCCTACAGCCCTACTTCTATCCTCTTGGCCTGTGCATTCTCTTCCAACTCCACCTGCCTGTTGGTTTCTGACTCCCATGGCAGTGGGCCCTCCTCTTCCTGTGCCATCGCTGTGCATTCAGAGAAGAGGGTGTGTGCTGACTTGCCTTCTCTGTGGTGTCTTGGACACTGTAACAAGAATCAAGCCTTCCTTTATGCTAAGAGTGATTGACCTACTACACCCATGATCACTTTCCTTGCTGGAAGACATTTTTCTCTGGAGTAACCGTTCCTCCTCTTGGGGGTTTCAGAGTTGGCAGTGTGTGTTCCTGAGTCTTAGGTATGGTGTCCCTGCTCCAGAGTGAAGGGAAAGAGTGATCCTGTTGATGTTGGGGGGGGGTCTCCCATCTGCGCTTCTCCTTGACTACAGCTGAGATGAAACCCACAAGTGCGGGGGACGGGAGTCTGGAAGAGCTGCTAGGAAGCAACAGGCTGGAAATAGCTGGATGAAACCTGGCTTCTGGAGATATTCAGCCTCACTCATAGGAAAGCAGGCAGCTTGCAACATGGCTGTGAGGCCCATCTTCTCACTGTTCCCCAAGGGCGTTCCCCCTTCCTGAGGTTCTGTCTTCTTAGACTACTAGGGCAGAGCAAAGCCCAGCCTTCCCTGGCAGGGTGCATATGTGGGGTCCCTAAGTCCCCAACTCAGCTCTGGCTCAAGTGTGTGGCTATGCCAGGGCTTGGGTAGTTTTACAGGTCATCCAGCGCCTATCCTGGGAGACTCAGCCGAGACTAGACTCAGGTCACATGTTGGTAGGAAGCAAGTGCCAAATGAGGGAGTTCTAGAGGCTGCATGCGAAGTCTGCAAGTACCTGAGACTGTAGACTGCACTGCAGGTGTCCTAGGGTGGTGGTGGGGCAGCTGTGAAGATCGCATATTCTGTATGGGCTGCAGCTTGTGGTTGATGGTAAAGGTAGCCTCTGACAGTGTTTGCAGAGGTACTCTGACCCACCCGTGCCCACTCTGCTTTGTTGCCTTTCTGATACTATCAGGCAGTGTGGAATGGCCCCCTTGTTGCCTTTCTGTCATCCTACTCTGGCTTGAACCCAGAACCAGGGCCAGACTGACCTCAGCACTCCACTGCAGCCTCCTGGGCTGGAGAGCAAATGGCTTCACCTTCTTCAGGGGGTCATGTCCTGTGGCTTGGTATTTTGGTAGCAGTGCTTGGGGAATGCTGACTCCAGTAGATCTGAGGACAGGGAGAGCTTTTGGGTTTCTTCCATGGTCCAGAATTCCATCGAGATTGCATTTATAGGAAAGCTTCAGGCTGTTGGGGGAGGGGGGCCTCCAAGGACAGGCAAAATCATGAGCCAGAAGCAGGCTAGGGCATGCAGATACTCTTTGTGGCTCCTGCCTCCTGCCTACTCCCAAATTTTCCCATCCTTGGGGCAAATGGCTTTTCCTCATGGGCCTTTTTCACTAGGACTTCCTCACCTGTCTGTCTGTCTGTCTGTCTGTCTGTCTGTCTGTCTAGCCAGATTTGAAGCAGTCAGCTCAGACAGGAGCACCAAGAGCAAGTGAGTACATTGTGGCCCTGGCTCTGTAGTGCTTCCCTGGCCTTCTAGGTCATTAAGGATGGCAGAAAACTACTAGCACAGCCTGGGTTTCCTCAGAGTGGCTTCTGGGCTCCCTAAGCTGTCCAGGTTAGGGACAGAGGAGTGGGTCTCAAAGATGTCCACAGAATAACCTCAGACTCTGTGTGTGTGTGTCCTTTTCTGTCAGCCAAGGAGCTCCATAACGGGACTTAGGTTAGCCATTGAAGGATGAGAAAGGATCCTAGACTGTGCCAATGGGGTTGGTGCAGACACATGGACTCTCGGGGTCAACAGAAGGATGGACAGACTGGGAGGGGTGTGAAGCACCCACTGAAGAGACCTATGAGGACAACACAGCTCCGGCCAACAAAGAAGCCAGGATGTCACTCCCACAACCACAGGGAACTGAAATTGGCCCTAGCTTGAGTAAGCAGCAGGAAGACCACCAGAACCATCAGGGAAGAGCCCAGTGACACATGGATCTGACCTATCAGACTTTGAGCAGAGCCAGCCAAGGCCTGTAGCACTGCACTCACCCAGAGTGTGCATAATGGAGAGCACACAGGCAGAACCACCCATCGTGTGGTCAGATAGAATAACATTGCCTTCTCTGGGCACAGAACTGTTCTGAAGTGGACCACAGAGGAGCCTTGGCTGGGTCTCTTCTTCAGGGGCGACACCTCCATCATCAGCAATTCCAAACCCGCCTACTTCTTGTGAGGTCAGGAACCACACGTGCAGCCATAATGTTCCACTGGGTTTGGTGATAAACGACTTTCTTTTTATTTGTGATAAAAATGTATTATATTGCCTTATTTATTTTTAATCTTGTACAATATTCATGTACAAATGTTAGAGCCATTTGGGTAGGATTCTCTCCAAATTATTTATTTTAAGATGCTCTGTAAATACTGCACCAGTTACAGGTGCTTCCTGTTCACTTGTACCAAAAATGAGGCAAAGCCTGGCACCCACGTCAGCCCCTGCTTGTGATGCTGTGGCCCTTGGGAAATGACCCCTTTGTGTTCCCTTCTCAACCCTAGCATGCCTCCCGTGCCTGACGTTGTAGAATAGAACACAGCCCCAGAATGCTTCCAAATGCTTCCACGGGCTATGCCAACCTGGGACAGTCTATACCTGCAGGTGTATGTCCCCACAGACCCAGCAACCCAGTTGTTTCTCAGACTCCAAAGCCATCAGGGCTTCCGGACCCCTTCTGTCATAGAAGCAATAACCATAACTCTATGCTGGAGAGACAAGTCTGGCCCAAGCAGGTTGATACTTTGGAAACTACCCACACATGTGAGTTTGCTACAAAGGACTGACATTCCAGGTCCCCACCTCTCCCAGAAGGTCCAGCTCTAGCTTCTTGGCTCCTAGAGCCAGGATTGGTATCCCCAGATAGCTGAGCAGACTGAACCAGCCACCAATCCTAGACCCCACACTATTGCTCACTAAAGAATAAAGCTTAGGGCAGACATCCAATCCTGTATCCATGCCTATCCTTGAATCATGATGCTTTATGTGACCAAGGATAGTAATGGTTTGCTTCAGTGATGTGAGCATCAAATAGTAATGGCTTTTTTTCAGTGGTTTGAGCATCAGAAGGTAACATTTCAAGGCACTTATGGAATGCCATTTAAAGAAAATGATTCCACATTCAAGGTTGCCCATCTCTATCAGTGCCATCCTGGTAGAGAGGAGCTCTTTGTTGGAGAGGGCAATTCCTGAGGGTATAACAGGAAAGGGCTAGTAATGGAGCTCTGACTAACAGAGGATTCAGCTGCCAGATGTGACTAGCATTCAGAGAGTTCACATTTATTTTGGTGCAATCCAAAGGACTCTGTGACATAACACATCCTAAGAACAACCTGCAGAGGCTGTGTAAATGACTTGATTTAATGGACTGGGTAAGAGGGGAGCAGTTTGGATTGTGGAATCTGGGAAGTTTTCATTTGATTTTCGCTGCCATCACCACTCTCAACAAGGTAAGTTCTAGGACTCTTGGAGTCCCAGGGGTCTTGTTCACAGCCTGTGCAGAGCTTCCGTTTGTATGTTGGATGGGAGTGGGGGCGTTACAGAGCAAGTGTGTACCTTTCACAGCAAGCATTACTGGCAGGGAAAGAACATTCCTACATATACTGCTCCCACCTTGGCACCATGACAGGCTGCAGAAATCATGCTCATATATTACTTTCTTAAATGGCTGTCTATACATAACCCCCAGAAACTGACTTACTCATGCTCTTCAGTGGTTTCAGTTTTTAAAGTGTGCTCTCACATGCACATAAAAACCAAACCAAACAAAAAACAAAACCCTTCTCCTCCAAGGTGTTTGTTTGGTAAAATTAATAGAGAACAAGATTGGCAGTTTGGATGTTATGTGGGCCCTGAAGCATCTTGCTTCTCCAGATGTGATTGGCTTTGAATGTTTTCATTTTGGGTCTGAACCAATAGCTCCTCATTGGTTGGAGGTAGGCTTGAGGTAGGTTGATGGCTAAAATGTGTGTGTGTGTGTGTGTGTGTGTGTGTGTGTGTGTGTGTGGTTTTCATAGGGAATACTGGAGTTGGTTTGTAATTCCTGGCTCCTTAGGCTCGGGGTTAGAGGAGTTGCATGGGGTGGACTTAGATTCAGGGATCTGCTTGCTGATGTGATGGGACCCAGCATTCAACAGGCAAAATCGGAGCTGCCTTCAGCTGGCCTGGGGATGGGAAACTAACCTTTGTTTTGGTCAGAAAGAGTCCTCCATCCAGGAACTAAGACACCTTAGTGTCTTGCACATAAATCATTCTGAGCTCTCG